TTCCATTAGATCTTAAATTGCATTAAGCAAAAATATTACTCAGATTTTGATAAACAATATATGCTACATATTCCTCTCCCTCTCCCCTTCCCTTTCTCTGCCCAGAATAGCATTTCTTTCTCACTGGCCCTTGCTGCCCATAATCAGATTAATTTTCGTACAAGCAAAGCATATAAAAATCAAAGTTGTGAGCATTATCCATTCATCTCTTACAATATGATTTTCACAATTATAAAGGCAGAACACAGTCTACCGTCATCTTTAATATTTTGTGAAACAGCTCTCTTGAGTCTTCTCCACTCAAACTTTACCAAAACTCAGGAAAGATATGAACAAATTACCCACAAACATTGGTAGATTTGGGTACAAATGGGGAGAGATTCTTCTGAAAGCAACAACGAAGTGTATTCGAACATTGGAAAGCTAGAAATTGGAAAACAAGCTTCTGTTGGATTATGGATTTGTGGTTTCTTCCTCTTAATTAGCATATGTGATAATGAAAAATGAGTAGCAAAATAAATCAACCAAATATTAATTTCTTCCCCTTTCCTTGCAAATTTGACAATCAAATTACAGACAGGAAAACATATTTTGACCAAGATATTCAGAAGATTTTCACAACCAAAACTCTTTTCCTATTTCTTGGAGGAAAAGGAAAAAGTATGGAAATCCATTTATCTTTAGAATTTGCAAGACACATACCAAAGAATATAAGTATCAATGGCACGTGGACCACAACAAAGCTTAGGAAATATTTATTAAGACATTGCCTACAAACACTCAGATATCAAGAGGATATGACCCCCAACCAGCCCCACATTCCAGAACTCAATGTACAAGGAGGCTGGGAAAGTGGGGGGGGGGGGAAGAGGTGGTATTTACTGGTTCTCTGAAATACTCAAAATTTCCGCTACCGGTTCTCCAGAACTGGTCAAAACCTGCTGAAAACCACCACTTCTGTTAAGTGACTTTGGGTGCTAAATCATCTTGACAAAGTGCTTTGCATAATAGAAAAGTTTCTCTGTGCCTCAATCAGCCAACCCATCTCAACTAAATTGCATATTCAACTTAATTCTTATATACTGCACATGCATAGTAACCACTGATTTGGTAAAGCCATTTTACTTGTTAGAAGCACGATGCTATTTTGTGGAGTTTCAAAAAAGGTGCTTTACTCAGATCTTTGAGAAAGCAACTCCCCCTGCTCTTCAAAAACCTGTACACACATATTATTTCCTTCTCTTCCCTCCCCACCCTGGAAGTGAATAGAAATAGTACTATAAAAACCAGCATTGTTCCATTAAGAGAGAAATCTTCCAAAGTATTTAGATTTTTCAGTATAAAGGTAAAGGGTAATTGTTGGGGAAAGTGCCATAACTCTAGTTTTAAGAGAAACTAGAGAAAGATGATTGATTTGCAAATAAAAGCAGTGGTGGGTTCCTACCTGTTTGGACTGCTTCAGCTGCGTGACCCGTCAAAACCGCGTTCCACAAAAGCGCGATCGCCGAAATCGCGTATGTGACGTCATCACAACGCGACGAAAAAGATCGAAAAATTGAAATAAAAATTAAATTACAGCAAGCCGATTCACATAAAGGTAAGCGTTAGGTTAAGGGTTAGGGTTAGGGCTAGGTTAAGGGTTAGGGTTAGGGTTAGAGCGTTAGCGTTACGTTTAGCGTTAGGTTAAGGGTTAGCGTTAGGTTTAGCGTTAGGTTAAGGGTTAGGTTTAGGGTTAGTTTTAGGGTTAGGTTTGGGGGGGTTAGGGTAAGGTTTTCGCTTTATTTTTACATTTTTCGACCTTTTTCGTTGCGCTGTGATGATGTCACATACGTGATTTTGTCGACCGCGATTTTGTCGTCCGCGGTTTTGTGGTACAACCCTTCAGCTGAACCAGTAGTAGCTCGGTGGCCTGGGTCACTGGAACTGGCAGTGACCCAGGCCTGCGATGCCCCTGAACTGGTTCTCCTGGTGGTGCCATAGGCACTGCTATCTTGTTTTTGGCTTCTGTGCATGCATAGAGCAATTTTTGTTGTACTGCGCATGTACGCGCAAAGCACGCCCACACACATGGCACATCCCTGAGTGAACCAGCAGTAGCATCTGCCAGAACCAACCACCGGATGCAACTATATGCCTTGCTTCTTGGTTGCTGGCTTGATTTGCCATTTTGGTTTATCTATCTGTCAATCAATCAATCAGGGACCTTGGAGGTCTTCTAGTCCAACCTCTTGCTCCAGCAGAAGACTTTATATCATTTCAGATAGGTGGCTGTCCAGTCTTTTCTTAAAAACATCCAGTGATGAAGCACCGATAACTTCTGAAGGCAAGCTGTTCCACTGGTTAATTGTCTTCACCGTTAAGAAGCTTCTCCTTAATTCCAGATTGCTTCTCTTGATTAGTTTCCATCCAGTGTTTCTTGTCTTGCTTTCCAGTGCTTTGGAAAATAAATTGACTAGCTTTTCTATGTGGCAGCCCCTCAAATACTGGAATACCTTTGGCCTTTTGTTGGAAGTATACATGAAAACATCATTTGTGCTCCTAATTCTTTAACTTTATTCCCTAGCTGTTCATAATCTCTTATTATTGTTTTCAGATTCATTGTTGCGTCATTGGTTCCTACATGAAGGGGAAAAAAGAAGTAGTAATCCATGGGATTGATTATTTAAGTAAAATACTCAGTTGTATCTTTGATTTTTGCTCCATGGAGACAATATACCTCCCTTGATTGACTACAGACTATAGTTCTGTTTCTCTCTCTCTCTCTCTCTCTCTCTCTCTCTCTCTCTCTCCCTCCCTCCCTAGTATGTTTTATTTTGGTGTAGTCTTCTTGTTTAGGCTGGGACTTCTTGCTTTGCTCATTGAGTTTCAGAGTAGTTAGAGTTAGAGTTGCCTCTAGGCCTGCTACTTTTTCTTCTAATTCAAGTAGTTTACATTTGATACATACATAGCTTGGGTCTTCTGTGGGCATAAACTGAAACATACGGCACACTTTGCAAGTCACTATAGTGTCAGTCTCTATTTCCATGACTTTTTTGTTTGTTTGTTGAAAAATTAAAAATGTCTAAAAATTAAATATTTTCCCTGTTGTAAAGGTACATTTAGAATACTTTACAAGAGTCCTTGGCCTTTTGTTCATTGTCTTGAAAAAATCATCACTATCTTCCCGATTTTGAAGTATCTGTTCTTTTGCTTTTGTATTCCTGTTTTTACTTTTAGAAAATGTGCACATCTGAATTCTTAACTTTTGACTCCTCGGAATCCTAACAAATTTCCAGTATAATTAGACCTCAATTTACCACCATTTATTTAATGACTATTTGAGATTACAACAGCATTGAAAAAAAGTGACATGATCATTTTTCACATTTTTAACTGTTGCAGCATCCCCATGAGCACCTGATCAGATTTCAGATATTTGCAACTGGCAGGTATTTATGACAGTTGCAATGTCCCAGGGTCATGTGATCTCCTTTTGTGACCTTCTGACAATCAAAGTCAATGAGGAGATCAGATTCACTTAACAACTGTGGCAAGAAAGGTTGTAAAACAGCAATAACACTTAAATTTATGTAACACTTCACAGCCCTCTTGAAGCAGTTTACAGAATCAGCATATTGCACCCAACAATCTGGGTCCTCATTTTCCCCCCTTGGAAGGCTGAGTTAACCCTGAGCAGGCCAGATCAAACTACTGGCAGTCAGCAGAATTAGCCTGCAATACTGCACTCTAATCACTGCACCACCATGCCTGCAAAGCTCACTTAACAATTGCTTAGCAATGGAAAATTTTGGCTCAAGTGAGATTGTAAGTCAAGGACTACCTACTAAATTGTTTCTATGTTAAGTAATTAAATTAAGGATTGCAGCCTAACAAGAAATTCTTTCTTCAACATTAACATTATCAGTTAGGTTCTTAATTGCTAGTTGATTATTCGGGAGGTTGTTCAAGAAAAGATAAGCTGTTTTAAGAGGGAAATATACAATATCAGTGATATTATGGCTCCTCTAATTTTAATATCCTGAGCCATGGCCAGCAGTTCAATCAGGTGAATCCACGAATGCAGACAATTGGTGACAGCAGCAATCAGTATCCGGCAAGTAATGGCCAAGAATATAAATATTGCATCAGAAAGGAAAACCAAAGCTTCCATTACCATCTTCCTCACCAAAGTAAATTGTTCTACATTTTGCTTAAATGTGATTTTCTGTTGGAAAGGACAGCAGACACTTAGAGAATTTTGGGTTCTCCAATTCCCAATCTTTACTTTTTAAGGCTATTGCAAAGAGGGTTTATGGTAAATGGGTTATTGAAAATAATGTTTTTTATTGGGAAAAGGAAGCTTAAATAATAAAAGTTTGAGTTTTTAAATGGAAAGCACCTCCCATAGGAAGTTCCTTACTTGTAGAGTATAACACATAATTAGGAGATTAGAGACATCCAATGAGACAAAAGTGAGGGATGTCTCTGGAACACTGAGCAGATGGAAGTATCTAGACAGTAATTGTATTACTATTTTAGAATCAGTTATTCCATCTGGCTGCTGTGGGCTGACTTTAAGCAAAGAATGGCTATAAGTGATCATGAAAGGGAATATTATTAGAAGGTGCTAGCCATTAGAACTAAGCGTGCTGGCCATATTTAGAAAACTGGAAATCTTTCTAGAAAAGGACAAGACTACACATTTCTGGTCAGTTTGATTGATTTCATCCATGGCCATGTGGGAATTTCTATTGTGCTTATCAGAAGCCTAAAGACTCATAATTTTCTCCATGCTGGCATGTTTCTTTTACTTTAATTTGCTCCGTTTCACCCACATTTTTCATTTCCACGCATTGCTAGGTGTTGTTTCACTCTTGCAATGAAGACTTTACCATTAGCAGTCTACCCTGTGTGTCAAACCAGACACAGTAAGAACTGTGCATTTCAGCAGCATTCTCGTTGTGGTCCTGATTTTGTCCAAACTGGTTTAGGAACTCCTATAGGCTATCTCAGCTACCATCATGGACCTTGGGGCCTTCAAAGGTAAGTAATATGACTTTGATTTGAATTGGGGGAAGGTCTTCTGAAGAATACGAGTAACAATAAGATAGACAAGATTAGATAATGCTGAGATATGTGCTCACTATCCTTTTTTTTCCCTTTGTATGTTTCTAGCATTACAAATTTCTGTCTTCATCAGTATGTAAAGGAGAAAAAGTGCATGTCAATTTTTTCTTGTATTGCAAGAATATAATTGTATCTTCTAAGTATTCCCCTACTGAAATACTTCTTAAAGCATAGGTGTTTTGTTGGAAACTATGCTGCAGGATTTACTTGTATTTTTATTGTGGTGCAAATATCTGTAGTTGGAATTATTCTGATGAACTTTACTGACATTACATTTACTGAGTATATTATATTTTGATCAGTATTACAACAGAAGGAGATTATTTGAAAGATCCTAGTTTTTAAAAAATATAATATCTCCATTTGTGAAAAAGGGTTACAAGTTAAAAATAATATAGAGTTTGCTACAGTGTCAGTAGTCCTTAGTGGCGATCAGCAAGATAAAAAGAAGGAAAGAGAATATAAGAGGGATGTTTGGATACACACAGACACATACAGAGAGATATACACACATATATACACAAATATGTATATAAACTTACATATACATATACATTTTCCATAATATTCTTAAGACTGGACTTTAACAGACAAAATAATGTTAAATTCAAATAATGTCTAAAAAACAAGAAGTGTTTGATGCCACACAATCAAATACAGAAACAATGAGACTGAAAGCAAGAAATTATGGAATGGGATAAATCACCATGGTCACTTGGCTGCTGCCACCTGACTGTGGACAATTGGCCACCATCACCTTTCAATGGGATATCTTACCCCGGCCAACTCACTACGTGGTCAACTCGCTGTGAACCTGGGCCTTTCGCTCTGGTTTCCAAAGCCGGCTTGGCTTAAGGGAAGTGAAAGCTCCTGCCAACCTGCACTTTTTCTCCAAAGAGTTCCTCACCTCTCTTTCCAGCCCCCGTCTCCGAAAGGCAGGCTAAGAGGGTTTCAAGCATGCTAGCTTTTATCTACATCAGAGGTGGGAAGTTGAAAATCATGCCTGGGTTTGGGAAGAAGGACCTCTCCTTTGACATGCTGTGCTGGATTCTAATGGATCCCTGGGAGAGAGAGGGGCAAACAAGGACAATGACTGGGTGATTCAATCTGGAACAATGACTCCCACTTAGTCTGCCCTTCACAATAGAGTGTATGTGAGGCAAGGACACCTTTAGAGAAGGAGAGCAGGAGGCCTATGTGGGAGTCATTGTCTTCAGTAGGAAAAACCTTCATGGTGATGGCTGTTAGGAGCAAGTCGCCCTGTCATCATCCCTGCTTGACCCTCTCCCTGCCCAGGAGTCCTCAGGATCCATTGTAACATGACAAGGAAAGATCATTTTCCTTAAGCCCAGATGCGATTGGCAGCGTGGCAGCTTTGATGCAGATAAAAGTCCCCAAGCACACATCCAGCCCGCCAAAGAAGAGATCCTTCTCTCCAAGCCCAAGCATGATTGGCAATTTCCCAGCTTGGGTGTGAATAAAAGTTCCCAAACTCAGAATGGTGTGTGTGTGAGTGAGTGTGTGTGAGAGAGAGAGGGGGGGGGAGGGAGGGAGAGAGGGAGAGAGAGATAGATAGATAGATAGATAGATAGATAGATAGATAGATAGATAGATAGATAGATAGATAGATAGATATCAAGTATGGAACAATGACTCCCAGTTATTCTGCCTTTCACAGGAGGGCACTGGACAACAAGATGCGGAAGCCTTTTGAGAATGAGTGCAGGTCGGCAGCAACCTTCACTCCCTTAAGCTGGGCTGATTTTGGAAAACAGAGCGGAAGGCCCAGGCTTGAAGCAAATTGTCCCCTGTAGCCAGGTGGTGACGATTTGTCATAGACCCAGGAAATTTATATTCTCATTCTCTAAATTCTTTAACAATTAGTATTCTTTGTACTTAAATGCTGGAAGAAAAGTTTTGAATATTCTATTGCATAGGTGTCAAACTTGCTGCGTCACATGACATTTTGTGATGTTTTTCCCCTTTGTGGAGCTGGGATGGTTGTGACCTGCATATGATGCATCCGGGCCTTGGGCCACCAGTTTGACACCCCTGTTTTAATGGATATAGTATTTAGTGCCTGCTAAATTAAGAGCAGGATTGAGTTGGAGGCAAGGCTCATACTTCAATTTGCCACAATACTCCTCAGGAGGAAACAATCCTCCCACTCTAAGTGGCAAACCATTTGTATGAACTAGATCTAATAGGCTAGATAAGATATCAGGGAAAAGGTTAAGATCTGCATGGAGGAAGCTCCTGCTTGTGAAAAAAAATTAGAAAACTCAGCCTTAGTTCCTCTAAGATCATTGTTGTTTAGCAGCTTCTGATTAGCAAACACAGATAAAGCGCTCAACATGACATTGAATAATCAAGCTGTATGACTATTAGGTAAATAGAGAATGAAGAAATAAGGCTGCTGTGTCACAGTCTATCAGGATAATGACCTAGACCAGTGATGGCGAACCTTTTTCACCTTGAGTGCCAAAAGCACATGCAAATGCGCTACCACACATGCTTGCGTGCCCACCCCCATAATTTAATGCCCCTCATGCTGTGCCCCCTGAGCATGTGTGCATGACCCCCCCCTGCTGCCCCATGCTCCCCATGCCTGGGGAGAGTGACAACGGCCTCCCCCGCCCACTGGATGCCCTCCAGCAGCCAGAAACAGCCCATTTTTCTACTTATGGTGGGCTCAGTAGGCTTCAAAGCCTCCAGAGGGAGAAAAATAGCTCAACAAGTAAACCAGGGTCCATTCCCAAACTTCCGGTTTGTGCATTGGGCGGTTTTTCGCCCTCCGGAGGCTTTAGGGAAGCCTCTGAAGGGTGAAAAATGGATGAAAATCAAACCTGAAAATCAGCTGGCCAGTGTGCGCTGGAGCTGACAGAAATGGCTCTATGTGTCACCTGTTGCACGTGTGCCATAGGTTCGCTATCACAGACCTAGACCAATGATGGTGAACTTATGATATGTGTGTCAAAGCTGGTAACCTACAACATTTTGAATGACACACCAATACTATTTTCAAAATTCAAAATTGTTTTTAGAGGCTGCAGAAGAATGGGTGTGCTCTCCAAACTCTCCAAAAATCATATGAAACGGAGCATGCTTTTGTGTGGATTTCAGAGGCAACAGAAGCCATGGAAGAAAGAAGGCCTTATTCTGTCTAAAAGTATGGTGCTTGAAGGTTACTGCCTGAAAGTTATAGTGTGCGGCAGATTTTGGGGAGCACTGGGCGGTGGAGGCAATTGTGCTTTGGGTGACAGCATAAAGTGGCCTTTTTGAGTGGCAGCAGTAGTGCTAGGGCTGAAGTGGAGATCAGGCCTCAAATTCAGGCCCACCTTCAACACTGCTCCTGAGTGCCACTGTTCAGAGTGGCCTAGATGTACCTGTATGTGAGGGAGAGATAGAGAATTGTTCTGTTTTGTTGGGGGAGGAAGGGGAACAAACCAGCACAATCAAGTTAGGTATTTTCCAATTTTTTGACTTACTGAGCCAGAAAGGTTTACCATCTAATAGCTAAACCAACAGGCAACCTACAGAAGTATTCAGATTAACTTCCTCTTTAATCAAAAATCTGTCTCCAATCACATATGCTCCAAAGATAAGGAAGCTTTGGGTTACAGCAAGCCATGGGTTTATGTCTGCGCAGATCTATATAAGATCTTTATTGCCATCTCTGAGAAGAATCGGTGCCTATACTAGGCACTATTAAAAAGAATGTAATTGTAAGGTTAAATAATAACATCCCAAAGGGAGATTCAACCGTTACATCCTTGGAACAGACAAGCAGAACCCATTGAGTCCTATAGACACATCACTAAAAGAAGCTAGGTAGCTACTTACTGCAAAAAGAAATGCAGAGCAAACACTTATTGACCTTTTTATTTTACACTCAAACATCTTTGCTTAGTAATTGTAATTCACAATTATTTGACCATTTCTGTGAGGGACAGTCATAGAATCTTCTTGAGATCTGCCACTTTTTAAAGACAGAAATGTGGGCTTTTGACAATTTCATAAAGGGGGAAATGTACATGCAGATATTATCTTGTCATACAGATGATTGAGAAAAAAAGCTGTAAACTGGAAACTGTCTGCCCCAATTTTTCAAAAGCAAACCATTTTGAGGGAAGGAAGCAACAGTTGTTTAGTTGTTTCCCTATAAATCATTCATTCTTGTTCTTGAAGATTGGCTAGGTGACTGAATTTCTCTAAATAATATTGTTTCTAACCTGTGAAGATACCAAGAAGCACAAAGAACACAGCCTGCAGAGATTTTTGTTTGGCTTGTTGTCCTGCTTGCTTGCCATTCAGGTACCAGAAAAACAAGTTGCAAATCTGCTTTTCTCCACATTTTTAAAGAGCTTCCTGATATTTTAAAAATTGTATTGTGCTGTAAGTAAATGTGCTTTTGCTCTCCTTTCAAATAAATCTTGAAACTACAAATATTCCAGTACAGGAAATCTAGAAATCTCAGCAGAAGGAAGGACTTTAAAGAATAGACTGTGTGGGGATAGAAAGACTCATAGCTTCCCAATTGTAAAAAATGCAGCATTTTTACTCTGCATATGGGTGTAACTGATAAAGCTGTGTAACATGAACCAATTTGACCCTTAGTGGGTGGGTGAAAAAATGACTAAATTACAGCAGCAACTAAGTGTTGCATAGCAGGAAAAGTAGCTAACAGAAACCTGTCAAATACAGTAGGCCCCCACACCCTTCCCTTGCTCATCTCATGCAATTGCTTAAAAACAGACAAAGTGATGCAATATGAAGATGTGCATTGACTTAGTCTTTTGCTTAAACAAACCTCTAGACTGATGTTTTTCCAACATTAGCAAAGTTTTAAGATGTGCCAACCAATATGGGGCTGAGGAATTCTGAGAGTTCAGATCTTTATACCTTAAAAATAGCTAAGATTTAGAAACATTGCTCTATATGTATTTTCAGTTGAGGGAATTTAAAATACACACTCAGACATTCAAAGGTGTTCTCACAGGATACTTTGGGAAACACTTTTGTTTTTTTAGATAGTTATTATCAAGGCGAAAACATTCTCTTTCATTTGTTCAAATTAAAACACTCTCCTACCATATATTGTTCAGGTGTAATAAGAATGCCACATTTTCAAATAATGATTTGTTAGTTTAAACATCCTTATAAATAAATTTGAACCTCATGTTGGGGAGAATCAGGTTTGGAAGATGATATCTTATTTTCTATACCAGAAACTAATTTTTCATTTTAATCATAAGAGAAAGATTAGATTTACAGAGGAATTATATTTAATTTTTTTGAATATTAATGTAAGTATTCCAAAAAAACAAAGGAATTTTTGACATTTTAAAGACATAAACTAGGAAAATTTCATTCTCAACTAAATTGTTTCTCTCACTACACAAATCAAAGTTCAAATTTCCAGTCCATAAAAAATGGCAATAGCAATTATCTCATTTATAAATATATTCAGAATTATGTAAAAAAACAACTGATTTCTATTCTAAACAATAGTTTAAGCAGCATATTAAGAATTAAAAATCCTATTGAAATTCCTGCCAAAATAGCTGAATTTCTAAGCATACCTGTCAAAATGGGATAGTCCCTTGTCTAATTATTTTTAATTGGCAGATAAAAATTTATTCATGGTAAATGTGTTCCTACTGTTATTAATACTTCATGATTGATTTGCCCACATAATCTAAGCTGATTTAGTTATTATATTTATATCCTGTCCTTCTATTCAGTTTTAGCACTCAGGGAAGCTACCACTGAACCAAAAATATAAATTTATCTTTTACAATCAATGCAAACAATTATTTAACTGAGGAAAAAACATCTGTTCATTTAACAAGCAGCAGATACTCTTGCTTGAGAGTATATCAGCATTGTAAGATAATTTGATCTTGAAATGATCACATCAGCCCTTTGAGGTAGACGAGGTCATGAATCAGACACAACAAAGATTATTGGAATTTTATTGTTACAGAGCATTATAACAAAATCTCTGACAGTTTCTCTTTCTTCTCTTATACCATGAATCAAGATAAAGTCATTTCCAGGGCAGAGATTTGTTTATTGTTTCTTTTATCTCCCCAGGCTTCTTATTTATTTATATTTATTTTTGCCCTCACAGTTTCCTTCAACAAGTTCTTAAAGATTTGGCTGTTCTCATCTGACAGCTTTTTTTGTATGATTTCTAAATTGGGAGGTTTTTGTTAGGCTTTAATGACTTTGTGCTTTGTTGATATGGTTATATTTTTTGACTTTTTTTACTGTTGGTATTTTATACTGTTGTCGGTCTTGCAGTCATATGCTAAGATAATCTTTAGGCAAATTACTTGGAATAGTAATATATCTGATATTTTGCTCTTGAATCAAAAATAAACTTTAACTAAAATATTAATTAGAAACATAACATACAGTGCAAATCTAACGTAGAGCAAAGCAATTACACTAATAGAAGACAAATGTCTGAAAATAAAAAGAGGACAAAATTGCTTAACATTTACATCACAATCAGGAGATCAAATTAATAGAGCTAAGGATAGTATGTATAAATCTTTCTCTTTAAATCCTAAGAATGGCATTGGGACAATGGAGTACAGAGGGAGTGGGGTTTTTGTGTTTTGTTTTGGTACATCTAGTGCAGGTAAACCTCAAGAGAATTTAATAGAAACAACATTTTTGGACAAAAATGAATTATTCTTTTGGGGGCTTGAATGAATCCAATCTCAGTAAGTGTTTAATGAGTTAGGACCTTTTGAATTTTGAATTGCTCATGGAATGAAATCCTCCATTTAGGGTGAATTGAAAAACAAATGCAATATCAAAACAAATGTTACCAGCATCATCATTCAAAATATAAAGATTGTTCACTAATATTTCTGATAGTGAGTTCTAGAGTTAAAATTCTAAAGATTAGTTCAGTTCATTTCTATGATGCTAGTTAGCCAGCCATGTATGGTTCCTTTCTTTTCCATTTCTTCTCTCCATCCTATCCATCCTCAAGCATCATGAGATCTATTTGGAGCCACTCAAACATATTTCTGTTGGGCTGCTTTTGGCATTCTGGTTCTCTTCCTTTCCTATCCTGAAGCTTTTGCCATTCTTCAAATCTTGGTTTTCCTCCAACCTTTCTGTACCTTCCCTGTCTAAGGATGGGTGGTTTATAAATAAGATTATTAATGCATTTCTCCTTTAGGGAATTTAGGATCTTATATAACAGTAATGCTAGATTGCATATCCATGCTTATATGTCTTTTTAATCAGTGTTTTATGTTCACAACAGGATAAAAGTGTTAGTTGAAGGATAATAATGGGATACAAGTCAACTTATTTATTGATTTATTTGATTGTTTCAAATAATCATATGCTGTTTCTGGTTTTAAAAAAATCACTATAAAACTATGATGCCATAAGATAAAAGATAAAAGAAAATGAAAACAGTTCACAGGAACTTATTTTTATGACTTCCAGATTGTTTGATATACTGTATATTATTTCAGTAAGATGTATACTGAAATGAGAAGAAAAACACAGGGAACTTTTAAAAGTGTATTATTTCAACTTTTCCAGAGTACAACCAACAACCACAAAAGTCAGATATTTTGAACCATGGAAAATTCTTCTCATCCTTTTGGCCAGCACAATTGCAGCAGCAATCATCATTGGATTTCTGACTTATTTTTCACAATATGGTAAAAAACATCTTATGGTCAATTTATAGAGCTGCTGTTTGAACACATTTGTAATTGGTTTTATTTTATAAATAGGCAAATTCTGCCATATTTTTATAATATGGAAATAACAGCTTATTTCCCAAGCCAATCAGACGTTCTTGCTATCCAAATAGAACAAAAGACTTTTTCCTCACACACTGAATAAAAATAGATCTTTGCTTAACCATGGGGGAAAGTGAACATTTGATTCAGCTATTTCTATTATGGGTCTGCAGAGACTTCCTTGCTTACTTTTTTTCTTGCTGCAGTCCTGTGTGTAAAATGTAAGATAATGGATCACATTCTGCAAATGTATAGCCCTATACCCTGGGACATAGAGAAAAGAACCTCACAGTTGTTTGAATCCACCATTTATCTTTTTCAAGAACTTCTGAAAACATCATGAAAGATTAAATCATGAACCCCGACCTAGGATTGTTTAACCTAAACTATTTTCCAATCTTAGTGGAATTTTGATGAACATTTTGTTCAAAAACCTGATCATGACTACCTAAATTATCTATTAAAACATTAATTCTATTACCTTTACCAATGACTTGAAAGAAAGTATTCTGTAAGTTTAGATATTTTTTAAATTTCTACTAATGGAAATATAATCATTAAACTTGTATGCCTCCCATCTCTTTACAGCTTACAATATCACTAAAGAGCATGATAAAACAATTACAGAATTAAAACATTAATCAGACATTAAAAGCATTTAGATTTTTGAAGCAGTGTTTGTAAAATGTCAAAAGCCTGGTAATGTTCCTTTTAATATTTCCTCTGCCTTCTGGGCAAAAGGACTAGCCTCCTCTGCCCTGTCTAGTGTGGTCTTCTCAATCCAAGGATAGAAATAGCGAGGAAAAATAAGTCACACGGAGTATTTGGAAGTAGTATGTTGGAATTGCTAATTTAACACAAATCTTACTTTTTAGGTATTAGAGATCAAAAGCTATCATATTACAAGGGCAACTTTAAAATCACTGGTTTGCAATACAATGGTGCTTTGTCTCGGCAGACTTCAGACCAGTTTAAAGATTTAGGAAATTGGATTGAAAAACTGGTAAGTCTCTGAATTTTTACTTGTCCTCATTCTGGATTCAAATATATGGGCTTGAGGTACTTTGTAGATGTAGATTTGTAGATGTGAATTTATTGCTTTGTGTTGGATATGGAAATATGAGTAATTGTTGGTTCTTCAACAAAGCAAACATCTGTATTCAGCACTTTTGGAATCCAGAAATTTTTGGATTTTTCTAAGAATATTAATTGAAAACTGTGGATAATTTAAACTACGATGGATTACAGCTTCTGACCATACAGGAATGTGCATTTCTGAATTCATCTAACCTGTTTAGCATATGTTTTGAAATCAGGCAAAGATCCTGCTAATTTATATATAATAATATGACTGATGTGGCAATTTCCCAAATATTTTATTGGTTAATTTAATTAATGGTTAACTTCCATTCCCCATCTCTTTGTTCCTAGTCCAATTCCATAGTCAGTTTAATGCAAACTGATACTGGTAATTACTTTTACTTCTTTACTTCTCAGAATGTTTGGAAGAGGCAGAGAGTAACATCAGACAATAAAGGCAAATGTAGCATTCAGTCAGGGGCCCATAGTTCCTGGGGTGTCCTACCACCTTCTAAGTACCAAAGGGAAACAAAAATAAATGGCCTGTGGCCCCTGTTCCACATTTTTTGGTTCACAATGTATTTATTTTTGTGGTCATTTCATCATATTCATTTGAAATGTTAGGAGAGTCTGCCTAATTCAAGGGTTCCACTTTTTCTGTTACAACAGCTTGAGATGTAATTGTAACTAACCCTGGAATTAGTATCGTAAGCTGTGTTGGTCATACCAAATTTTATGAACTTTTTTGTAGTGGTTGTTAAGTGAACTGTGGTTATAAAGAGAATTCATTGTCCAAAGTGGGTGTTTTTTTGCTGGAAACTGGAAATTTAAAAAAGTCATAAATTGTGGATATGTGATTGTGGGATAATACAAACGAATATAAATGCAGGTTGGTTGCCAAGTGCCAAAATGTAATGACAGGACTCTGGGGAAGGGTGTCCATTGGAACTTCGAGTTTAGGTCCTATGTAGCCCTGGGGAGATCCATTGTAACTTTGATGGTCACTGAGCAATTGGTTGTAAGTCAAGGACTACCTGTATTAAAAAGACAGCAAAAAGGCTAAAGGACAACATATTGGCATTTTTGCAACAGCTATTTCTCATAATAGCTATTGTTAAAAGGTCAATAAAATGACTTTATTACTGTATTAATAGGAATGAAGGTAGTATGGGTAGAATTGTTCTCAACTGTCATGATTAAATCCTTGCAACTCTTCAAGGCTGTATAGTAGCTCAGATAAATAAAATAAAAATGAGATTGAGAAGATTTCTGTCATTTTCCTCCTCCTTTTTAATCATTTAAAAATCACTGATCATTTAGCTACATTTTTATTAAAAAAATCAGCTACCTTGAAAGAAAGAGTTCCCAGATTCAAAAAGGGAATTCCTGACAGTAGGAAAACTGGATAGCTCAAAAGAGCAACTTTTCCAAGCATTTAAACAAACAACTCACAGCTGAGCCAGCAACAAAGTAACTCAACTTACAAATTCTGCCCATGTTGTAAGATTGCAAAGGTCTGGAGCTACTTTCAAACTGATGAGAAATCTCATATGGGGGTGTCTTAAGCTGATCTTGAAGGAGCCACATTCCATGCTTCTTGCACTGCAAATCTGTCTCTAGCTTTCTGGGAACAAATGGGCATTTCATTAATGAATTCTGTGCTAGGCATAATTTTTGTCCAGTTTATTTTCCCATAAACTGCTGCCATGTGGGGTTATAATAATTGCTCATCAAGAATGGAATGCCATCTGGGACATCAATCTTGCTCTATTGTTTGTGAAAAAATGTGTTGGCTACAAGTTTGGTTGGACCAAAATGGCAATATGGGCTTTGACCCAGAGATTACTGCTTGGAATGCCACAGGAAAGGAGAAGCAGAACCGAAACTTCCACCAGTAAACATTAAAACAAAGCAAAAATAATTATTTGGCTCCTTATCATGCCAAAGAGGTGCAGGAATGTTGGGTTTCTTGCTAGGAGGATGATTAACCAGGTATGTAACGTACCAAGTAACGTACTGGAAAATCTGGAAAATATGCTTCCAAGGTGAAGCTGAAAAATATTCTTACTGTCTAAATTAATAAAAGTAGCATTTTCTGTTAGATACTGCTTATGTAAGACCCAAAGAAGTTAATATCAATTGAAAACCGGAAATTGAAAATGCCATCAGTTGGGACTGGACAAAGTAAATAACTCTTAGAAGAGTTATTTACTTTGTCCAGTCCCAACTGATTACATTTTCATGTTGCTTTGCTATGTAAAACTACTGTAATGTTATATAGAGCTAACAGATGGCATCTGAATGGTGAGTTCCTGATCCAAACTCTTTATACCAAGAGCTCTTTTGGTTGGACATCATTTGAGAGAGCAAGAACTGTGACTGTCATTGTGATGTCCTTTTTTAAAAGTACCAGTCTGAGTGATCTCTGTCTCTGTCTCTGTCTCTGTCTCTGTCTCTGTCTCTGTCTCTGTCTCTCTCTCTCTCCCTCCCTCCCTCCCTCCCTCCCTCCCTCTCTCTCTCTCTCTCTCTCTCTCTGTGTGTGTAGGAGATTAGAGGGCATCACGGACACATGTGGAACTAAATAAGACTAAGCAAATGGAGGAGGGGGGTGAGAAGAATGCAATACACTTACGCATTTAATTCTGAGTATTCAAAAAGAAAGAAACTGAGTTATATGACCTTTGTTTGGAGGGTTCAGTTAAATCCTCCATACAAAGGAGTGTGCTGCTCATACTAAATCATTTATAGCATGATAAAAAATGAAATAAATATAAAAATAATTGCAGAAGAACCTTCAAAATATGTAACAGAAGATCAAATTTAGGTCCAAATGAATGTACACTGACCACACACAGAGAGAGACAAACAAACACAAACCCATTCTCTCACACACTGCATATACAGTATTCAAAATGCTGTATTCTGAGTTAGTTGTTGCTTCCTATTGTTCTCTCTCAACCTTTGAGATGTAATTCCTCTGAAATTCTAACACTATCTCTGGCTTCTGAAAAGTAATATATTATATTCTGAACTGTATTTTATTAAGAAATAGTTATATACCATTAAAAATACTGGCACTGTGATGTGGCAACTATTATTAGCATACTAAAATGCTGGCATTTTTATATGTAAATTATTTCAGCCACTCCTTTGAATAAAGTTGTAGTTCTTGTCATATGTTTTTTGAGAGGGATTTCAAAAGGAATAAACAAAGATAATTAAAGCTGTCAGGGCATAAAATGCTTTCGTCATCTAGGCTATGCAGAAGTACATGTTTAAGAAACAGTATAATTGCTGGAATAATTATGTATCCATAAGTGAGGCCCCAAGCAATTCCACACCAGAGCTTAAGCTGCTTGCCTCCTATGTTGCTACTACTGTTTTCGAATGTCAGCTTCAGAAATTCCAGTCCATTTGGCAGTGGGATGGCAAAGATGATGGACTGTATCAATCTGGTCTAATGCAAGACCCAATTGGTTATTTCTCTGCTTTTTGTCCTTTCCATTCCTGAAGGGATAATAAATTCACTCTCTGGCTCTTGGGTGGATTGGCCTACCAGAGTCTGTCTTTCATTTGTGGGGTTTTTCCCCTCATCAATTTTGTATTCAAGAAATGATGAGTGACCTATATTGGCAGTGGGCCAGTGAGAAAATACAATCCCATCCACCAAATTATTTTCTTCCATGGTGCAGAAGAGAGGAAGGATCACCTCGAGTCCCACTTTCCATCTCAATAAAAAGATTAAGTGTTAAATTATCAATAATGAAATAACCTCTGGGATTGTCCATAGTAATTACCTACTATATTGTTTCCAAGAGTTCAAAGTGTCTGTTGATATATAGTTAAGGCATACTATTTCCTGTTGTTCATGTCTTTCTTTCTGCACTTTTAAATGAATTTAAAGTTTGCTTATATTTAATGAATAAACATCAAGCTTTTTATTGTTGTTGTTGGTTGACTTGTATATATTTGCTGTGATCTGGCTATAGGATTATACAGTATGTTGGGTTGAAACCAAATTAGGAATTATCCATGGTAATTTTCTATTTCAGTCACTTGAAATAGAAGCTTTTGTTAGCTTAATCCTGTCTTTCATTGACACTCAGTACCAGCTTTCCATATTCCAGTTTCAGTTACATTTTTCAGACAAATGTAATTATGTTTTTAAAGAATGGTGAGGGGACATTGAATATGCTCCTTTATAAAGAAAGATTCCCCTATATGGCTAATTAGCGGCTTGTGAGGCAGACAATATTAGCAATTTCCAGAGATAAAAATCTGAAGAATGTAATTGTGATGGGCTTATCAGTCTGCTAGTTCAAAATTTGCCTATGTAAAAGCAATAGATTTAGATTTGACTTGCCACAATCAAATGTGACAACTCTGCTCATTGTACAATACAACATTATCTGACTAAGGTTTTTTTTTAAACATATGGTAGTTAACAAATTCAAATTGCACAACATTAGTTATGATAGTAGCAATGTTTCATGTAGGTAGTTATGAAATGTCTAAAAAGCTGGAGCCAGTTTCATTCTGAATGGCTTTCCAAAAGTAACATCTGTTAGGAGCTTGTGTTTTCAGTAGTGGAAACGAAATGAGGCTTTGTAAAACTCTGGACTTGAAATGCTTTCCTTAACTTGGTCTCCAGAGTAAGAGTACTCCAGAGTTGGGAGTATGTAATCCTAGCCACCATACACAATTGATTGCTTGTGTTTTCATAATCGAAGACTTTATGGCAGGTGTGAATTTGGTAACGGCAGGAAAACACAACCCTGTTCTTTTTCTTGCCATTTTTATGATGTTGACTCATTTTCTTCTAAAGACATCTTGATTATTAGGAAAACAGACAGCTGCAGTACTTAAGCAGAGACACTTAATAGTACAAATTTAGAACATTTAAAATATAAAACCTTGTTCTTG